ATACAGTGTCCCAGCTTCTTTGATTAGCACTGTGAGCATGGCCATGTCTGCCTTCTTGTGGGTCAAGAGCCTGTGTATCATCAGGGTCCCATTCACTGGAGCAAACACATGGTGTAGGACCATCTTCTGTATGTCAGCTCTTCTTCTTTTAATTCAGTATATTCTGATGATGGCTTCTTGTCTCAGATCCCCTCCTACCCACCCCGCACTGTCCCATCTACCCAAATCCATACCCTTTCTTTTTCTCATTAGGATACAAATGGGCAACTAAAAAATAATAATATTAATAAAATGAAATTAGATTAAAAAAACAGAATAGGACAAATCAAACAGAAGAAAGAGCCGAAGGAAAAGCTCAACTAACTCATTTAGACCCAGAGACACACAGAAATCCCATTAAAACACAGAATCAGAAACCATAATAGATACTCAAAGGACCTGTAAGGGAATGGGGGAGCCCTGGCCAAACAGTAAAAGACAAAGAACCTCCAAAAATGCCATTGAGTTCATTTTGTGTTGGCCATCAACGGCTGGGCATGGGGCCTGGCCTTGAGAATGGTTTGTCTACCTGGTGAGACTCCATTAAAGAGGACTAATTTTTCATTTGTGAGCCATTATCAGTTGGGATAGCATCTGGGTTCGGGATGAGGGCTTGTGTCTCAATTTCCCCTCTCAGTGCTGGGACCCCATCTGGCTTAGACCTGTGCAGGCCCTGTGGGTGCTGCCACAGTCTCTGTGAGTTCAAATGTGCATTGGTCCTGCTGTGTTGAGACGGTCTTGTTTCGTTGGCATCTTCCATAACCTGTGGCTCTTACAATCTTTCTGTCTCCTCTTCTGCAAGATTCCCTGAACCCTGCGGGGAGGGATTTGATGGAGACATCCCTTTTAGGACTGAGTGTCCCAAGGTCTCTCATTCTCTGCACATTGTCCAGCTGTGGGTCTCTGTATTTGTTTCCATCTACTGCAGACAGAAACATCTCTGAAGATAGTAGAGCAAAGTGCTGATCTTTGAGTGTTGCAGAATGTCATCAGGAGTCATTTTATTGCTACATTCCTTGAGTGGAACATTAGTATTTGGTTTTCCCCTAGGTCCCAGGCATATCTGGTCTCAGGTTCTTGGCCACCTGAGCAGTATCAGGGATAGGTTCCATCTCATAAAGTGGGCCTTAAATCAAATTAGATATTGGATGGTTACTCCTACAGATTTTATGCCAGTATCACCCTAGCGTATCTTGCAGGCAGGTCACCATTGTAGACTGAAAGCTTTGTAGCTGGGTTGGCATTTGCCTTTCTCCTCTGGTAGTGTGCAGAGTACCTTCTAATACCATGAGGTGAATGCTCTAGGTAGTGTGCCAGCTCTTCTTACGACTTCCTTCGTTCCTATGTTCCTTCCTTCCTTCCTTCTTTCCTTCCTTTCTTCCTTCATGTGTGTGTGTGTGTGTGTGTGTGTGTGTGTGTGTGTGTGTGTGTGTGTTTGAAAGAGAGAGAGAGAGAGAGAGAGAGAGAGAGAGAGAGAGAGAGAGAGAGAGAGAGAGAGAGATTTTCTCTGTCTGGCCTGGAGTCAAGAATTCACTACATAAAGTAGGCTGGCCTTGAACTTGGAGCGATTCGCCTGCCTTTGCTCTCAAGTACCAAGGCTCCTGGTATGTATACCACCACACTTGCTCTTTATTTTTCTGATGACCTTTGCCACCATTGGCAACCATGTCCCCTCGTGTTGCTGATGGAAAACCGAGGCCAGAGGAGTCGAGTCACTTGTCTCAAACCTGAGTGTGAGAGAGGAAACCAAACACAAGAGTGAAATTACAGCAGTTGTGGTCAGTGTCAGTGTTGGGTGGGTTCGTTTGTTTTTCGGAACATGAATTGGGTATCTTTATTTAAAATATCAAAAGAGCATTTCTTAGCAGTAGTCAGAGGCCCAACATCGCACCATGAGCACTGGGTTTAGTCACTTGCTGGGAAGAAAAGGAAGTAGGGATTTTAGGGGGAGCAGGAATAACATCGACTAAAAGCTTTTGGGCAAAGTAATAGAGAATGAGAATAAAAGGGAATTAGAAGGGGCTGCAGAGGTGATTCATTCATAAGGCACTGGCTGCTCTTCCAGAGATCCAATGTTAGATTCCCAGCACCCACATGGTGGCTCACAACCATCTGTAACTCCTGATGCAGGAGATCTGATGCCTTCTTCTGACATCCTTGGGTACTAGATGTGCAAGTGGTCCACAGATGTACACACAAGTTTAAAAAAAAAACTTACGCATATAAAATAAAGCAAAATAAAATAAAGTATGTTTAGACTTGCAAAATATCTTTGGAAAAGATTAGTGTTGTATATTTTCTGAGATGAAGGAATCTTTGATCTTGATGCTTAAAATGAAAGAATACAAGAATATAAGGACATTTCTTTGGCTCCAAAAGGTAATGCTGCCTGTGAGTTATGAGCACAGGACTACGCTTCATTAGCATATTCATATCTGCAAGGAGGATTCAGTGAAATCTCTATGCTCTTCTATGTAGTGAAATGCCGAGCTGGCTAATAGAAATGCAGAGAGACAGAGCCAGGCTACGTGAGTGGGCAGAAGGATGGCAGATGGGCTCCTGCGTGGACAACTGGAGGATAAGGAACTTAGGGAGAAATAATCCAAACCATTCTCCCAAGACTAAAGGGATTTGAACTATCCGCTACAGCAAAATTAAAAGATTTTATGGTCAATACGCACCTTTGTCTGGTGTATATATTTATATTCTCACTGCATCTAAGAGATCAGCCTTCCATCAGGTGAACTGAAAATGAGCGTCTACGAGAGGTCATTAAACGCAGAAAACAGCATCCTGCTCCAACTGACAGCCATGGTTCGCTTAGTCCTGGAATATTCTGAGCTGTGTTTTTCCGACCTTCTTAAGCCATCGTAATAAAGTGGGAGAATGCCCAGGTGAAATCACTGATAGCAGAGAGGAGCTGTTTATCAAATCACACTTGCAAACGTTAGGATTCATCAGCCCAGGGAAAAATCAGGGCTTATAAAACTACAGGGCTGTGGGGCAGGTCAACTTGATGAGCATTGACCATGTAAAAGGGATAAGACATAGAGCTCTTGAAAACTTAAATTAGGGCCTGGCTAGACGGCTCGGAGAGTAACAGTGCTTGCCGCCAAGCCTTACAGCCTGAGTTCAATCCCCTGGAACCTCATGGCAGAAGGAGATTGACTGCCAAGTTGTCCTCTGACCCTGACGTAGCGTGGCACTCATATGCCCATGGACATGCATATGAAATAATAAGTAAATGTTTTTAAAAAAAACCTTAAGCCTAAATCAATTTAGACAAAACAACCAATAGGTAGCAAGTAAGCAAAATTCGAGGTAGCATAATATATATATATGTTATATATATATGTGTGTGTGTATTATATATGTGTTCTATATAGTTGAAATTAATTATATATTATATAAATATAAAATATTATATATAATATATTAAGATTATAATATAAATTTGTATAGATTTATATAAATGTTATATATATATCAGCATATAAATGTTATATAAATTTCAGCTCCTCTTCTGTAAAACTTCATAGGAATGAAAAAATAATTTTTATAGCTAGAAACTTGGTATGTGTCAAGAGCTGTTACATCCAGGGGCACACATAGACACAAAAGGGGGAAAATATTTTATGATTGTATTCATAATGTATTGTTTTAAAAAGTGGCATTTGGAGTTATGCCCAAAGCCTCACAGCATTTACCTTTGCGTAGAACTAGCTTGACAATCAGACAAGCCTGATTCAGATCCCACAGTCTTCACACAAGGGCTCTTGGGTAAGTAACTTAACTTCTCGGAACCACAGTTCATCTGTAAGTCGAGAAGCCCTTCCAGATAGGCATGCTGCGGAGACAGCGGGTAGTGGCTGTCAATCATTACAGGACTGGACGGAGGACCGAGGCTCCCTCTTTATATCTCCTCCACAGATGCAGTACCACCTCTGAAAGCACTGTCCTTGAACACCCAGTCTACCCCAAGAGGGCAGCACTAGCAACTATTCAAACCCTAACCTACCTACTTTAATCCCCATTGGTACCCATTCCTTCTTGTTCGTTGAGTCCCACTCCCAACCCTCTCCCTGCCTTGTTTCAGGGCTTGCTTTGGGCATTGCAGAAGTAACAGTGATAAACAAGTCCCGGGGCCCTGCTCTTAGGGGGACCAAGTGGGAAGGGCTGGTGCAGAAACACAAGCATTCCAACAAAGTCATTGCAAAAAATGGTTTAGAAAAAAAACAAACAAACATGGTAGAGTTTATGGGACTATGGTACGGCATTTTCAGCGAAGAGGTTGGAGCAATTCTTCCTCAGGAGACAGCATTTGAGTAACAGTGGGACAGAAGTGTTGTTACCTGAAAGTCTCCAGGCAACAGATGCTGGAGCGGAGTGGGAGGAGGTGGAGGGAGGTATGGGGGAGTGTAGAGGCTCCCAGGTGAGGATGAGTGTGTGTGTGTGTGTGTGTGTGTGTGTGTGTGTGTGTGTGTGTGTGTGTGTGTGTATGTGTGTGTTCAGGCATCCAGGCATAGTCACTCAGCCCTATATGACCAAGAGTCCTGTGTGGAGGAGAGAAAACAAGGGTACGGATAGAGAGGGACAGACTGCGCCAGGCTCTTCGCCATGAGGCTCGGAGAGAGCTTAACCTTTCTTCTAAAAGCATTAGGAATCCAGAGAGTTTTCAGCGTGTCGTTGCTAAGAGCCGGTGTGTGTTTCAGGGGTTCTCATAGCCAATGTGCAGAGTGAGACCAGGGCCCCCCTCTGCGTTCTCCACCCAGGCTTTCTGATTGTTAACTCCCTCCAACCCCTCTAGACCGAAGTGTGCCCCTGACTTTGTACCCAGTCTCTCACAGGGCAGGGCTCATGTTGCATAAACCTCTTTGTACTGTTTGTGTTGTAGGACGTCTACTACAAATTCTTTTTTCCTCCTCAGATAAAATAGTTAACCCAAATACATGTTGTTTCAGGTTTTAAAAATCAGTTTGATTGGCCACAGGAAACGCATTTTGGCATCTCTGGGAGACAGGCTGCACGAGGACCCTCCACAGAAGCCCCCTCGGTCCATCACCCTCAGGGTAAGTGCCGCCACGTCCATTTTGCTCTCTACCCTTCTCAAAAAGTATGTTGCGCAATCAGATGACCGAAGTCGTGGAAGAGGAAGTGCAGGCTACTTTCCTCATCGCTTGCCCTATCTGTATAAAAAGCAGTCTCCCTTTTGATTGTTTGGTTTTCTCAATATGTAATTCAGAGACCTAGAAATACACTATAAGGGAATTCAGTGTGACCAGCCACCACCTTTTAAAGACCACCCCTTCATCCCCAGTCTCTCCCTCCCAAGAGAAAGGAAATGAATTTTCTGTCAGACTCCTCAAACCCACAGAAACAAAATCGATCAGAGACCACAGTTAAGTACAGATCGATTTAAAATTAACCTCAGGGTCCTTCTGTTGTTGTTTTTTTTTTTTTCAAGAAATGAAAAATGACCGCTTTTACCCACTTCAAAAAATTAAGAATATAGACTCTAAAATGTTATGAAGTCAGCTAACAATTGTTTCCTTCAGCTATATTTTTATAAACATGGGGTAGAAAAACTAGAGAGAAATCGTAAGAGGTAAAAACAAAAAAGAAAAGTGAGAAGGAAGGGGGCAAAAAGAAGTCAAGAGGTGATCGTCTCTGGCAAGATGTTTGTAGAGGCAAAGAGTGTAGCCATAGGCCCCACCTTCATGAAGCCCGCATGATCTCGTCAAAAGGCCGTTAGAAAGCCATGTCTCCCTAACAAGCTCAGTTCTCGGCTTAGTCCTGCACTCGGTTGTATCTTACTCCCCTCTCACATGCCAGGAAAGGTAGCTATAAATGGTGAGCACAGCGTAGGCCTCCCTGCATATGCTCCTGGGGAAATAAAGGGCCCTGATAGGTGACAGTCGGTGAACTGCAGGCCACAGTCAGGGTGGTAGGGAGCTGGACAGGACAGAAACTTCTAGACTGATGAATCTGACTCAGCTTGGAAGAGGAAAATAGAGTCCATGAGATGCTCCTTCCAGAAGCCAAGAGGAACTGAGTGCCAGGGGCATCAGTATAGGCTAAGCTATCTGTAGGCTACTTCAGGGTTTGGGGAATAAGGAAAGCAGAGATAAGGCTCATATTTATCCCTCCATAAGAGGCCTCCAATACATTAGAAAAATTAAGCTAGAAAGGGCTTATTATCTTGTCTCCCTCTACTTCATGGAAAGAGGGAAGGCTCCGAGCACCATCCATGTAAATGCACTGAGAGATCTCTTCAGAGGAGTCATTTCCGGTTTACACAGCTCCCCGGCCTTTCCCTTCTGAACCGCTCACCCTGACTCCCAAGAAAAGACTTATGGAGATAATAATTAAAGACTGGGCGGGTGGGGGGAGGGAATCCTAGCAAAAGTGGGTCTAACTCTGTCAAAGGAAGTCAGGGGAAGAAGTGGCCTGCAGAATCTCATGATTCCAGTCCTCCAGAGTGCAGCCACTGCGTCCTGCACCCTCCGGCCAGTCTGCAGCTAGAGTTGTCTTTGCTGTTGGAAAGCATCCTCTGTCATTATACGCATTGCTCCGCAGTCTGTACGTCGCGTGACATGCTGTGTTGCCATACTGTGTCCACTTCCCAGGCCTGTGTCACATCACACTTTGGTAGAGGGAGGACCAAGGACCCATCTAGTCCCATGTTAGCTTCTTGTCACGGCATCCGGCGCAGTGAGGATGTGCTGCCCACAGTCCCATCCCCGGTAAACACACGATAGTGTTGGGGTGCCCCACAGAGATGAACCTCCTTCCTAAGATCATCCCAAGTACTGAAATAAATAAAAATAGAAAATAAAAAAAAAACGACAACCATGTGATTCTTTATACTTTAAACCTTTGGCATGTAGCCAGCGGGAGGCAGGAGTATTGGCTTCACCACACCATTCATAGAATTAACAGTGGCATGTTGGCCACCCCAGCAGGTGAATGAAAGCTACTCCCACCCCCCTGTAGAATTACCAATGGGATGTTGGCCACCCCAGCAGGTGAATGAAAGCTACTCCCACCCCCCACCCCCATAGTGTGTTGTGTTCGTATTTCACAATTTTTTTTTGAAACCAAAGGCTAGCCACGAGAGCATGGTATTTATTTCATGATGTATTTCCATTCAGGAACCCAGTGGTAATCACACTCCTCCTCAGTTGTCTCCATCACTTAGCCAAAGCACTTACACCACTGGTGGCTCCCTAGACGTTCCTCACATTATCATGCAGGGCGATGCAAGGAGAAGAAGAACTGAGAACTACTTTGATGATATCCCCCGATCCAAGCTGGAGAGGCAGATGGCTCAGGTAAGGTGTTCGCAGCCTCTGTGACGTGTTTGCCTTTCACCCGCGGCAGGTAACGCGTTCAAATACTGGGCGGTAGCTCACAACGGAGGCCTACTATCCACGCCTAAGTTGAACTTGACCGTTTTTATAAAGTGTTGCTGCATCCTGTGCTCTCTTGAACTAGCTTGAGCCAGCCCCCTCTAGGAGATGGAGATATATATCATTGAACCCCGCTCTCAGTGAATTAGTTATAACCAGCTGGTCTCAGTGCTCTCACAAGGTCTTTGTGGAAAAGGAATATAATTGAGTCAGAATCAAGTCACAACAAAAGGAATAATAAACTCTAGGTTTTAAATGTGGCTGGCGGAGCACAGGTTTGGGGGAAAGAAATAGCTTCATGTGAGGTCATTTCCTCCCAAGCTCACGTGTTTATAGTGAACCCCCCTAGTGGGAGTAGTTACAGCATCTCACACTGTCTCCTTCAACAGTTAGAAATAACAATGCTGCCTGATGCAGATATTTGGAAAGAGAGCTCTGTTGGCCAGCCCTTCCCTCCTTGGTACAAATGTTCACTCTACTGTGTCCCTGGATCTCTGTTCAGAAACTCGAGTCGGTCCTAACTAGATGGTGACACACATCCATGTCAGATGGGCAGCTTGTTCTGCAACTTTGCGCCCCCCCCCCCGACCTTTCGGAGCTAAGGATGTATGGACAGCCATGGGCAGAATCAGCTCTTCACTTTGTCGTTGAAGGCTGAGCTCCAAGTTCTGAGAGCCTGCCTTCTGCCTCCCACACATTAGCTGAGCACTCAGAGGTGAAAATTTGACTATGATTGTTTTGGCTCAGTTGTTAATTTTTTTTTTCTCAACTGTTTAGTGAGATTGTGTTTTTGAGAGTCTCTGGTAGACACTCTGTGTTTTAACTCAAGGAAGAAATACGTGAAGAGAATGTTCTAGAAAGCAGGACTACGTAATGCCTTGGGGAGAGAGGGCCTGCCACGCTCTCTCTCAATACCCAGTTGTTCTCAGGAATGGCGGTGTCGGGACTTACGGTTTTTGTTAAATAGGATGGAATATGGGAGAGAGGAGAAGAGGATCATTTTCCTGTTCTCTGTGGTGTTGGTATTGTCTGTAAATCTGCTGCTGTTTCAGCGGAAGCTCTTTGAAATAGAGAGGATGGGAACTTCCTCCTCAAGCCACTCTTTTGTGTCCTGCTCTTAGTATTTTGGGGACACGTGTGGTTCAATTCACCTAATGGAAACATTTCAGAGACATGGTTTTCAACCTTGAACCACATGGCCTTTATACAGTCATTAAAATTCAGTCGTTTCTGAACCCTTGTCTTCCCGGGTAAGACAGGATGGGTCTTTAATGAGCATTAACGATTATTGACGGAGGCACCTTCAGTAACCAAAAATTACCTGCCTCAGCTACTCCTATCGTTCGTGAAATTTCTCCACAGAGGGCAGAGTCTTTTCAAAGAGGAATTAATTACTCTTCTGTCTATTGTCAGAACACTCAGAGTAACCCGGCAAAATCGTTCCCTTGGTTTCTCCTTCAGAATCCCAAGCAGGGCCAGGAATACTTTTGATAACCCGCATCCTTTTTTCTTGTCACTGCTCCCTGAAATGCATCCCTTTTGGGAACTTGTCTTGCCTTGAGAAAATTGAATGAGCCTTTATCTGGCCAGGTGAGGAAAGCGGAAAGCAGAGTGAGATTAGCCGGCTGATGGGCTGTGGTAGAAGGGGTGCAAGCATAGGTATTTACCTCCCGGGTCCAGCTAACAGGGATCGAATGACTGATGGAGACAGAGGCTCTGTCGGCAGCCCGGAGCTTATTAGACGCCGTCTAGCATCCTGCAGTTCAATATAGCACTTTAGCTGCAGAGAAAAAAAAAAGAAGATAGAACTCCCAGAATCTGATCAATAAGAAAAAGAGATCCTGGGATTGCAGTTCTCTAGGCTGTATTCATTTCAGTTTGGGAATGTGTTTTGAGAATCTGCTCGCAAGGACAAGAATCGTGGAGTAATGATTGTATACTGCTTAAAATTGTGCCATTTCGAAACCTTAACCGTTCAAAATGCACTTGGTGATTTTGTTGTTTGAATGGTGCAATTTACCTGACTCTAATTATAGTCAGGTGCTCAGCTGATGCTTTGTTTTGTTGGTTTTTTTTTTTTCCTTAATCTTCCCCAGCTGGAGTTAGAGTCATTTGCTGTACAAATTTTGTACAAAATTTTGAAATCTGTTTTTTTTTTTTTTTAAACAGTCTAAAACACTTGCCCCAGACCGTATCTTGCCCTGAACTTGTACGTTGAGCTACTCAACTTGGGTTTCAGTGGGTTGGAATTAGCAGTTAAAATCCCTATAAGAAAGCATCTTTCCAACCAGCAGCGTGGTTCCAGTGCCCCTCCCCCAAGGGTCTCTCCCAAGAGGCTTATAAGAGGTGGGTTAATCCCCTCTCTAGTTTCCATAAAATATGGAAGTCCACCTTTAAACTCGCTTTCTTTACTGCTAAAAGAAGGGGGTGCAGTTAGTAGAAGATCCCCGAGACAGGGTCTCATGCTTAGGAACCCCTCTACATCTTCTTGTTCACCTGAGCCCCTCTGTTGGGGCTCCAAGGCCAAAAACCTTCAAGTTCTAAGTGGCTGCAGTAACTCACGGGACTTTTGCCTTCTTGAAATCTGCCCAGAAGATCTACATTGCTTCAGGAAAGAAAGAATCTGAGCTCAAAATTAAATCGAGATCAGCATAATATCCATTCCACCTATCAAACTCGTTTGTTAGTGGATATTGAAAATGTAATGCTAGGGTAGTATTTTAATTCCCCCATTTCCAATTTAAACCAATATGAAAGATCTCTGTCTTGGGCTAGCAAGATGGCTTAGTGGGTCAGGGTACCGGCCACCAAGCATGACAACCTTAGCTTCGTCCTTGGAGCTTACATGTGGAAAGAGACAACCGACTCGATCCCCTCCTCTGACCTTCACATATGTACTGTGGCATGCTGCACTCACATGTATGTGCACACACACACACATACACATGAATACACAGGATAGATAGATGATAGATAGATAGATAGATAGATAGATAGATAGATAGATAGATAGATAGTAGATAGATAGATAGATAGATAGATAGATAGATAGATAGATAGATAGGTCGGTCCGTCCGTCCGTCTGGAATATAGGTGCTTTGCAAATATTGTGGCTGCTGTTTGCTTTGACCACAATATAAACACACTACTCTGGCATCCAGTGTGAAAAGCACAGTTGATTCCAACACCAATAGCACTTTGAAAAGTTAGCACAATGATGTAAGCACTTCTAGACAATGGTCTTTCTTTCTGCCGTACTGAAAACGTTGTTTCCCTGGCCTGTGCTTCTAAACTGAGCCCATTAGCCCGGAAGTTATGAAATGGATCTCCATTTCCCTACCCCTTAGAAATAAATGTCGCACTCACACTTACATAACTATACCTTCGTGTGTACGGTGCTTTTTGATTTCCCGAGGACCTTGGCATCTGCTTTATCTCTTTGTAGCAGTGTGCCCTCCACACTGCTGATGTGCATCTCATACATGACAGAACAGTATTATGTCCTAATTCCCGTGAAGATGAGGCAGTAAACGTAAATATGAGAAATACACCAGATGGAGGAAAATAGCCCCAGTATTTAGGGTCTAATTGCAACACTTTGCAGTTTTCTTGAATGACACTTTGGAAAAGTCAATGTACTCTTGAAGTGAACCAAGGAGGAGGCTGGATTTCTGGTGTTCAGGAGGGATAGTCTTAGACTCGGGAAGAAAAGAGCAAAGAGTCCCCACAAGCTGCAATGCAGTGGCCATTTATAGAAATTCACGGGAAAATGAAATACTGCGTATGTTTTCACAAATATAGAAACAGTAAGAGGAACACATTCCTCTGCACCAGCATCAACTTAGAGGTTACCAAGGAAAATCCACAGCGTGGAATTCCTTGTGTTTTGACTGCTCTCATGGTTATGAAAAGAAAACAAAGCCCCGCAATATTGCCTGGAGCAGATATTAGGCACTCCAAAGGCCTTTTCCAAATTGTTTCTAATTCATTAGAAAGTTAATTCAGTTGAAAGCCTAATATTTCTTGATCTACGATGAATTACTTAATATGTATGACTAGATCAATTACTTCTTCATTTGGAAGTACTTTACATGTATTAGTTCCACAGATCTCCATTCTTTTGATATTATCAAAGGGAAGGAAATGGAAACACCCATGTGGGGGCCCTGTTGCCACTGTCCTTGCTGGTCCCTGTTTTCCCTACTGGTTTTTCCCGTACCCTTCTCTTATTGAGTCTCAGTCTATCTGCACTGAGGTGGGTGAGGGCTGTGCCTCACAGTAAATAGGTGGCAGTTTACTCTGACTCAGACCTTCTGTCAGCCTTCTTCCCCAATAGCCCCTGATGTCCAGTGCTATAAAATAGTTTGAGAACAGTTCAACAAACAGCAATTTCCCACGTGTTGTAATGCGTATATGTAGGTACAAGTAGCACAGGGAAGAAGTCACGAATAGCTTAGTGGAAACCTTATGAGTCAGCTCATGGTTGCCATCAGGAAACCTGTTAGATAAAAAGTTATGAGGTTTACAGAAGATAAAGTAGAGACTCTTGAGCCGTATGGTGGTGATGCATGCCTTTAATCCCAGCACTTGGGAGACAGAGGCAGGCCGATGTCTGTGAGTTCAAGGCCAGCCTGGTCTACAGAGCGAGTTCCAGGACAGCCAGGGCTACACAGAGAAACCCTGTCTTGAAAACCAAACAAACAAAGTAGACCCTTTTTCCATCTTGGCAACATTCTGTCTTCTTGTGTCTGCAGAAAGCTTTGTGTGGGGGCCAGAGTAGACTCTGTACACAGACAGTCTTGCCTGGGTGTTTCTTCAACAATGACACTGTTTTCTTCAGGGTGTCTTCAGTTGGGTTCTGAGTTGATTTCTTTCTGGCTGTGCAACCTGGACCAAGTCATTATGTATTTCTGAACTTTACT